TTATGCCAGGCAAAACCAGAATTTGCAATTAACAAAGAGGCAAAAAAGACACAATAAAGAGGCATGAAACAGCAAAAAATCACATTCAGGATTTCCTCGTGAATTATTTGTTGCTGTTTATTGCCTCTTTATTACCTCTTTAAGAGCCATGTCGTCTGAAAATCTTAATTGTGAATTTGAATTCATGGTTTGCCTGGCATAATAACTGTTTAAACCCCTGATTTACCCATTTTACCCTGTGTAATAAAGTCCTTACTCTAGATCAGGCTTGATGGAACTGGGCCTACCTTTCTCTCCCTCTGTGAGACACCTACACACACACATTACATTTGCTGCTCTCCCCAGATCTTGCTTACAAAGTCATGCTTACATAAATTACTCTGATACCATGTTATCAAGACTCATACCATAATTTTAACATTCAGCTTTATTTATTTACGGCAGCCTTACCTAACCTGATAGCTACTAAATTATGTTCAGTGGCCATTTTGGTTGGGAGGAATAGAAATTGCAGTCCAGATGGAGAGTGACTTTGGGAAGGGTGGTTTATATGCACTTGCTTAGGATGGGGTAGTAAAAAAATATGTGTGACATGTCTCTGTTATAAAAATAACCTGTGAACTGAAGCCCTGGAGATGCACAGAATGTACCTTCAGCAGTATGTGTCACATTAAGACATGAAGCACAATGCATTTTAGCCTGAAACTTGTTTTGAAAACTGCAGTGTACCGGGTAACAGTTTGATTTCATCCAGGGAAGTAGTGCATGTTGTGCTGAAGCAGATGTAGACGTATACTTCAGTTAACAAAATAGATGTGTTCCTAGGCATTACTTCTTTAAGGAAAAAATTGATACCACAGGCAGAAATCACATGGAAAGAACAGGGATATGTTCCTGCACCACAAAAAAGAAGAACAGTTTAATATGTTTCACCCAACTTTTTCTTTAAAATTAACAATATGTATATGTGAAAAGAAACAACCAGATTAGGTAAGGTTTGTTTGTTGTTGTGTGCCTTCAAGTTTTTTTCTGACTTATGGCGGCCTTATCATGGTGTTTTCTTAGTAAGATTTGTTCTTTCTCCTGTGGCTGAGAGCATGTGACTTGCCCAAGGTAACCCAGTAGGTTTCATGGCTGAGCTGGGAATTGAACCCTGGTATCCAGAGTTGTAGTCTGACATTCAAACGATTACACCACACTGGCTCCCTGTAGATAAATATAGTGGGCCCTTGGTATCTGCTGGAGTTTGGTTCCAGGACCCCTTATGGATAACAAAATCCATGGATGCTCCCATTCAATACAGTAGCACAGTAAAATGGTTTCCCTTATATAAAATGACAAAATCAATGTTCGCTTTTTTTGGAATTTATATATTTTAAAAGATGTTCAAGTCATGGATGCTTGAATCTATGGATAAAAAATCTGTGGATATTGGGAGCTGATTGTAAAAAAATATCTTGTTTCGTTTCAATATGCATCAGGGATTACCTTTTCTTTCACAAGCTTTTTCTTATAATTTCCATTTTCACAGCTAATCTTAAAAGATCTGTGTTTTTTTGTTAACGTGCTTGGTGGGAGCTGCTGTGGCAGGGTTATCTACTCTCTTGCCTGTATTTTGCCCTTTATCCTAAGAACAGAGCTTGGAAAAGAACCTTTCTATTAGAAACTTCCAGACATACTGGCTCAGAGATCCCGCAAATTGTAATCCAAAAGGGTACTTTTCCAAGCAATGAAATGTATGAAGATGCAAAAATATGCTAAAGTGATGCCATGGGGAATAAATTCTACATGTTCAGGTGTTGTGCTTATTTGGTGTTGTTCACATTGTTTTTTGCTTTTTATCTAGAGCTCAAGTGAAAGAGTAACTAGAGCATCAAGATGTCTGTTCAGGAAGGGAAGGGGTCTGTCCGCAAGTCAAAGCACATGCCTGCAAAGACAGCTTTGAATAATCCATTTATGCTCCAGTGGCGCACTCTGAATGGAGGGGATATGCACTTCATATTGGAAGCTTTGGAAGGTGTTATGAAACGGATTGGTTTAAAAAAAGTAGAGCTTCGGAGACAGAAGAAACCCTGCTCTGGACAGAAGCAGAAAAAAGAAGAACAGTATGTGTCTGCCAACAAGCTTCAAGATGAAAGTAAAGAGGTTCAACTACATGGGTGGACCAACTTGCAAATCAGGAAGCAGCTTGCTATTGGGATCAATGAAGTAACTAGAGCCTTAGAAAAAGACGAATTGCTACTTGTGCTTGTGTGCAAGTCTGCCACACCTACCCTGCTCACATCTCACTTGATTCCACTGAGTGTGAGTCGGGCCATTCCAGCTGGCCAAGTCCCACGCCTCAGTGAAAGACTAGCACCGGTTCTTGGGTTAACATCTGTTCTAGCACTGGGATTTAAAAGGAGTGCTGATGCCTTTGCAGAGGTGGCTGAAATGATTATTCCACGAATACCTAGTCTGGAGGTGCCATGGCTTCACCATGGGATAAAACAGTCCTTGGGGAGTGAAGAAGATACTGTTCTAATGGACTCACCAGCAGTTGAGCTCATGGAATCAGGCCCAGAAGAGTCCTCTCCCAATCAGAAGCGGAAGAGACTGGGTAACAGTAAGCTTGCCTCTCCTAATGTAGTTCTGCAAGCGCTCAAGGTTAAAAAAGTAGTTCCCAATCCAAATAAGAGAAGGAAGCTCCCGAAAACTAAAAAGCGTATTTCAAAATAACTGTGTCAAGGTTCTTCCATTCTCTGTATGCTTTTAGTGTGAAATTTTCCATCAGTGAAAATAAACTATGTAATATTAAATATTGACTAGGTTCACTGACAATTAAAAATTAAACATATACTATTTTACAAAATTATTGCGTTGAGACTGCTAAAATATACAGAATTATATATACAAGTCTCATGTTCAGATAGTATCTATTAATATAGTGGGATTTTAGATGAAACAATTATTCAAAACAAAATAGTATAAAATTGTATATTTATTCAAACATCCATCTGTGCTGATTCAAGATTCAATAGCTGGTCACCTGTTAGATGCTGGAGTTGCAAATATCTGCAAACTAAGAGCACAGTATCTCTCTCCCTCCCCCCCTTTAATATTGTTCTCACTATTGGTTATTTGCAGTTGTGATCAAATAATACATGCAGAACTGACCCTAAGTGCATTTTGCCTTTAAGATAAAAAAAAAAAGTTTTCTTTAGCATGTCAAATCAATCCTGCAGGAAGGAAATCATTTGAAATTTTATCTTTTGGATGCAGGTCTTAACATCCAAGCATATCCCATGATGCGATTTCCTAAACAGAGGTTACAGCTCTAATCTGTTCAGATTAATATCACATGCTATTAAATCCAACAACTAAAATTGCTTCTCAGCAATTAAAATGATAGTGGAGCTTAAATATTTGTTCAGCGTTTATACTTGCTTCAGAAAGCTGTATAGTAAAAATATTGAAAACAGGCATATTGTAAGGATCTGGGAAGTAACAGCATCAGGATCGGTAGTTAATTACATACCACGTTCACATGTAACACTAAACCATGCACGGACAAATTTTATCCCTCAAGATGTTGTTGGACTGCCGTTCCCTTTAGCCCCAGAGAGCATAGCAGAGTTGGTGGAAATTGCAGTCCAAAAATGTCTGTAGGACTGCCTCTGTGCTGTAATGTGGTTTTATGTGGACAAGCCTTTGCAACTTCAAGTATATATGCCCCTTTCTTTCTCCTCCACTTTTGCACTTGCTGAGGTGGGGCACTTGCTGAACTTATTCGCACATTCACCAGTTTCTAGCCTGCTATCATGTCCAAACCAGACAGTGTCAGTTCATCAATGTATACAGACCAGGCTTCTACTCAGTTGTTAAACAAACCAGCTGCAAATGATGGTTTATTCAAGTGAAAAACTGAATTGGTTGAAAATGTAGAGCTTGATTCTTCCTTTCCCCAATTCAGGAACTGGTGAAAGAAGAGCTTTCCTCTTGACTGGGGGGAATGAGAGAATGCAAGCCTGGTGTTTCACTTGAGTCGCAATAGAGTTGTTCATGTAACACTGAGTCAGGCTTTAAAGCAATGGTGGGAACTGTTTGGCCCTCCAGATGTTGCTGAATTCTAGCCGACCTAGCAATCATAGCTGACAATAAGGAATGCTGGAAGGTGCAGTGCAGGTTGAGTCTTCCTCATCTGGAATTCTGAAATACTCCCAAAATCATTCACATGGATGGCTGAGATAGTGATACCTTTGGTTTCTGATGGTTCAGTGTATACAAATTTTGTTTCATGCACAAAATTATTAAAATATTGTGTATAAAATTATCTTCACGCTATGTGTATAAATGAATGTCATGTTTATACTTGGGTTCCAACTCAAAGATATCTCATTATAATATTCCAAAACCCAAAACACTTCTGGTCTCAAGCATTTTGGTTAAGGGAGACTCAACCTGTAAAGCATTATCTAGAAGGGTGAACAATTCCCATCCTTGGTTTAGTCTACAAATTGGACCTTTTCATCACATGAAAAATGATTTCTATGTACTAGCTGAATTTTATGCTTACAGTAGTTTGTGTCCTAAAGTGTATGAAAAATCAAATCTTTACCTATGTACACTAATTCTTTGTGTTTGATTTTTTTATACATATGAACAATGTATAAAGACACTAGAAAAAATGATAGGACATTGCCTTGTCATGGGTTCTCTGAAGTTCAGATTGTTCAAATTTACCTAGTAAGGGAGGAGAAAGAAGGTCATAGTTAATCTTGTTAAGTCTTGTGTCCTCTTGAATCCTTCCTTGCTGCTATTTTTCTCCTCCTCTCCAACATTTTCGGTTGTTAGTTATTACAACTAGTTGCATTTGTTGAACCAGCCTTGTAAACCTGTCTAGATCACTGCCAGACATCTAAGTATGGGGAAAGCAACTTTTATTGGTTTGGGGGTGGGGGCAATTTTTTGCCTTGAGGGCCCACTGTGGGCTGCACCAGGCCTTGAAATGCTAAGAATCTAAAACTGGAAATGGCTGGAAATCTACTGGCTGCTTTGTTTTTAAACTTTCACATTGGGGGACAGCAACCTGTTTAAAATTCAGGAGGGGGGCATCAGAGGAGCTATGGACCACAAAAAACAGCTTTGGGGGTATGTGTAGCCCATGGGCACACATTAGTTCCAATCTAATCTTAAGTGCTTGAATCAGAATCTACTAAATTGAGAACTAGGAAGCACTGCCTCATTTGCAAGAACTTCAGACTCCAAGAAATCAACTTAGGGGGCAATTTAGCATGAAAAATCTCATAAATAAGTAATACCTACAAACAACCTTTTTTTTTTTTGGTAACTTTTCAAATTTTCTATTGTCATAATGGAAAATTGATGGAAGGGGTGGGATGCATATAAAATACCTCATTTTAAATTGGGCTTAATCAGTAGACCTGGGGCAGAAGAGAGAGATACGTGATGACATATTCCAATACCAGACAAAAACATGTTTGCAACTGCATGAACATTTGCTTATTAATTCAAGGGACAATGAAACCCCTTTGCTTCAAAATCCAGGATGATACTATTACTGTTACTAGCAACAATTTTACTTATATACACAAACATAACTTTCATTTCAAAATTATGGACATTTCTTTAAAAAAGCAAGTAGACAAAAAGGAGTATGTGCAATTTTGCAAAAGCCTTTAACACATTCAGTCATAACACATTTTGATAACAGTACTAAAATTCTTAGTTTTATGTACAGCTGTTCTCACCCTACCACCAAAAGAGTAGGTTTTCCTTCTTCAGAGCTGTAAGATGAACATAATATAATTCAGACAACATATAAACACCTGCACTAAACAGTGCAATACTATTGAGTCAAGTCAGTGATCTATTGCAGATCAAAGTACAAATTTGTGTTTTTATTGATTTGGCAGCATTACTTATGGAGAAACAAATGCACTAGTCAAACCAGCACATTTCTGTACCACTCCACAGTTACAAAAGACATCCAAGGTTTCCATGTTTCCTACTAAATAGTCATACTTCCAAGCTTTCTTCTTTCAATGATGGCATCCTTGTAATGGAAACAAGCAGAAATACTTAAAATTGGCTCCTTCATTCTGTTACACTGATAAACATACACTACCACTTAATAAATAGAAATGCAGCAGTTCAGTCACATTAACAGTAAAGAATTTGTACTCTATTCCACCACTGCAATT